TTGTTTTTATTTTTGAAATGGTTTATCTGTGGATTTCTTGCTTTTTAGTTATATAAGTAGAGGAAAAGGCATACGCACACACAAGGATGAATTTACAGAAAGTATTGTATTTGAAATCTTCTAACTGCCGGGCGGTGGTGGCGCACGCCTTTAATTCCAGCACTTGGGAGGCAGAGGCAGGCGGATCTCTGTGAGTTCGAGACCAGCCTGGTCTACAAGAGCTAGTTCCAGGACAGGCTCCAAAACCACAGAGAAACCCTGTCTCGAAAAACCAAAAAAAAAAAAAAAAAAAAAAAAAAAAAGAAATCTTCTAACTAAGATTTCAGGTGATGAGATAGTATCATTGCTCCATCTGTAAAAAAAAGTTTCAACCATAAAAACCTGTGCGGTGTAAAAAGAACCCTATGCATTCAATGACTCCAGATGCATCTAAAGCTATGGAACAAGAGAGAAAAGGGAGAACCAAGCACAGGTTTCCTTTGGAGAAGAAACTCCTTACATTATCACTTCTATTTGCATAAGAGGAAGCATCCAGCACCAATTCCATGCTAACGAGGAAATTCTGCCCATTTTTTTCTAAGATTTATATTTTTATATGGCCATATGTCTATCTCTGTGTGTTTATGTGCGCTGCATATATGTAGGTGCACACGGAAGCCAGAGGGCATCAGATTCTCTGGAACTGGAGTTACAGGCAGTTGTAGCCACCCAACATGGGTGCTGGGAACCACTAGAATCGGTTCTCTGCAAGAACAATCTTCGAGTTTGTTTTCTTGTTGCTGTGATCATCCTGATCAAAATCAACTTAGAGAAGAAAGGGTTTATTTCAGCTTCCATGTTGCTGCTCATAACCAAGAGAAGGCACAGCAGGAGCTCCTGGTGAGAACCTGGATGCAGAAATTGAAGCAGAGACCATATAGGAGTGCTACTTAATGGGCGGATCCCCTGGCCAATGCTCGGCTTGCTCTCATACAACACCTGCCCAGGGGTAGCACTACCCACAGGGGCTGGGCCCTCCTACAATAATCAGTAGCAAAGAAAATACCTCACAGATATGCCCTTCTTCAGTTAAGGCTCCCTCTTTTCAGGTAACTATGGGTTTGTATCAAGGTGACCACTGACAATACTGACCACAGGCAATAACTATGACTTATTGCCTTTAAGTACCTTTAACCAACTGTGTCTTTTCTCTGGCCATTTGCCCTTTCTGTACTGCTCTCATGATGATATCTCTCAGCTAAGAAAATGTCATTACCAGTAAGCTGAATTCAAAAGTAAGCCAGCACCCAGGAGGTGGAGGCAGGTGGATCTCTGTCAGCTTAAGGCCAGAATGATCTACATAATGAGTTCTACGCTAGCCTGGGTTATAGATTGAGACCCTGCCTCAAAACAAAACACACAAATAAACAAAAAACAGGGTATCTTGAACCTGTCTGCATCCATGAACAGGAAAACAAACAAACAAACAAAACCTACAAAATTACTAAGGGACTCTGCTCCAGCTTCTCAGCCTCTAACTGGATAGATGTTATCTGACCTGAATCTGTCAGAAGGTATTCTGGGAGAGAACAGGTAGGAGTTTCACTTAGTATTCGTGCTGTACCCATGGATTACCATCTGGGTTATCCTTCACAAGACTGAATTTTCATTTACTTCAGTTCTCTGCACCTGTTTTTTCAACTCATTGAAGAGGAGACAGGTAATGAGTGATTAAGCATTTCCATATTCAAGTTGATCACCTTTAGATGGCAATTATATAAGTCATATAAATCATTTCCTTCTAAAATAGCCCTATTCAAATTTAAGAATTCATTATAGCAAATCAGAGTTAAATGAAACAGAGATCACATTTAATCTCTAGATTACAGATGACCAGACACATGGGGGGAGCTCCAACACTTATTCTAATTAATTACTATATTAAATTTAGAGTAATAGAATAAGCTACCTGCTTAGTTTGGAGTCTATCTAAAGATCCTCAACCAAATATTTTTGCTTATCTAATCATCCTTGCTTTCCTGCAAATGACTCTTCCTAAGAATAGAATCTTGGAATTGGCTGAGTTCATTTTTACACCTGGAAGTCTGAAGTGAAACTTTTACATGGTCTCATTACTAATTGTAGGGGGGTGGGGATAGGGAAGATGAAACAGGGATTTCATGGATACCCCAGAGCTGTACAAATCTTACTGTATAGCATATGGTGGCCTCCAACTCACAGCAATGCTTTTGCCTCAGCCATCCAAGTACTGGAGTAACAGCTGTGAGTCAGTACTACCAGCTCCTATTACCAGGTTCCTAAAAAGCCTTTAAAAAAAATCAATGTAAAACTTATTGAGAATAAAGTTACTGAATTTAGAACTCATTTGGATGTCCTAGAGGGGGAGTGTTAACTACTTAATCAGACACTCTCAATCATGGCAGATCATTCCCGTCAACCAAACACGCTGCATTAGGAAGGACATATGTAGGAAGCAGAGCTTAGAACAAGTACTGGAGAAACCAGGATTGCCAATCACGTGGGCCTGTTCTCTTCAGTGGAAGGAAATGAATAATACACAGTCACCTAGAATGCCAGAGTAAAAAGTAGTTGATCAACTTAGTGATCTTTTTGCTACTCTGTGAGCCAGCCTTCCTGGATCCCCCAGTATCCTGAGCATTGTTTAGGTCCTGATCCTGAACTTTGTCTCCCAAGTGAACAGAACACATCCCTATGAAAGAGGTCCTATGTATTTTGGCATCCTCCACCAATAGAATCTATCCTGTATGACAGATCCTTCTAGACCTGAGCTCTGTTTATCAGTCAGTAGAACTCATTCTTATTGTAAAGGTCATGGGTAACAAGTTCTATGACTTAAATGTTTATATGTGTAAAAAAAAAATAAACCACAGGGCCAGCCCAGGGTTAATCTAGTGCTCTCTCTCTCTCTCTCTCTCTCTCTCTCTCTCTCTCCCTCTCTCTCTCTCTCTGTGGGGGGGGGGTGTTGGTTTTTCAAGACAGGGTTTCTCTGGATAGTCTTGGCTGCCCTAGAACTCACTCTGTAGACCAGGCTGGCCTTAAACTCACAGAGATCCACCTCCCTCTGCCTCCTGAGTGCTGGTATTAAAGGCATTATATCTCTATCGTCAACTTTCCCACCAATGGCAATACGTGCAAGAACCCTTCAACACATACAGAGAGGTAAGTGAGACACCCTGATCAGTCCAGTCAACTATGGTGATCAATGGGTAGACATATATCACATCCAGATCATTCTCACACCCAATTCTATCCAATTAAAAAGTTGTATGAGGGCCACAATTTTTTAGTCTTAAATGTCCTTAATGTCCTTATAATCCCAATCTCAGCCTTTGAAAACTTTTACAAAACATTCTACTTTGGTTTAGCTCCAGATTGTTTATTTTTGTTGTTGTTGTTTTTAAATATTTATTTATTTATTATGTATACAATATTCTGTCTGTGTGTATGCCTGAAGGCTAGAAGAGGGCACCAGACCTCATTACAGATGGTTATCAGCCACTATGTGGTTGCTGGGAATTGAACTCAGGACCTTTGGAAGAGCAGGCAATGCTCTTAACCACTGAGCTCTCCAGCCCCCCAGATTGTTTATTTTTATGTTCAACAAGGTAACAGATGCAGACCAGCGAAGTGGCAAGATGACAGAAAAAGAAAAATGAAAACAAAAACCTAACAACAATAACAATAACACACCCAGGAGCCTCAGAGAGGGGAAAAAGAGATTAGGAAACAAATAGTATTGCTTTAGTAAGGGTGTAAGATACTTGCTAGGGATTGAACCCAGGGCCTTGCACATTCTAAATATACACTCTACTCCTAAATTGTAGCCAACCCCTAAGAAAAGATTTTTTTTTAGACTTTATTTATTAAGTATACAGTGTTCTACCAGAAGAAGGCACCAGATCCCATTATAGATGGTTGTGAACTACCATGTGGTTGCTGGGAATTGAACTCAGGACCTCTGGAAGAGCAGCCAGTGCTCTTAATCTCTAAGCCATTTCTCCAGCCCCCAGAAAAGATTGTTTTAATTGTATTATTATTCTGTGAATGGGTGTTTTGACTTCATGTACTTCCAGGCACCATGTGCATGTTTGGTACCCAGAGGCGGGAAGAGGGCCTGGAACTGGACTCATTGTGAGCTGCCATGTGGGTACTGAGTATTGAACCTGGGTCCTCTCAAAGAGTAGCCGGTGCTTTTAACCATTGACCTACCTCTCCAGCCCAAGAATAAATTCTTAGTGGTAGTAAATGAGTTGGTTGGCATTCAGTAGTTATATGATATAAAAGGCAAGGATTGGTATATCTCAAATACATATTAGACATCAAAACTAAAATAATCCCCTAGTAATGCTTGCCATAAGATAAAGAATACTGTGTTGAAAATAGAAACAGACAAAAAAAAGTTGGTTTTATTGGTGGTGGTACAGTTCTGAGACTAAAGTCTTGGAGGGTGGGTGTATGTGTGTGGTATGTATGTATGTATGTATGTATGTATGTGTCTGTGTGTATATGAATGTATGTATGTATGCATCTCCCAGCCTGATCATGAATTTGTGTTTTCAAGTGACACTCCTACCTCAGCTCCTGGACAGAAGGGACTACAGGTACACATCATCATTCCTGGAAAGAATAAAGATTGTATTTTATAAGGGCTGGGTTGTGGTGGTGCACACCTTTAGTTCCAGCACTGCTCTACATAAAAAGTTCCAGGACAGCCAGATCTACATAGTGAGGCTGTAAAGATATGTTTTTCCCTGTTCGTTTTAGGATACATGGTGATGTATCCTACAAGTCTACACTAGGAAGTACAACAGGAAAATATGAGATTTAAAACCAGCCTGGGCTAAATGAGATCCTATCTCAAAACGAAACAGAAAAAAAATCCCTTCCTGTATTTAAGTTCTATTTTAAATGAAATAGTGAGAACAATTAAATCTAACTTTAAGTATAAATAATGAACCTAATGATCACTAAATACTTACGATGGCCGGTCCTCAAGAATCAGGGCAGTGGTAGAAAGTGGCTCAAACTCAAAATTCTTACGTCTTGAAGACTGAGGTGGTACTTTACAGGTTCTCCCTGTTCGTGCTTCATATTCCTAGAGCAAATAAGGATATAATTTATGTAGAGACTTTTCTAATTTTCAGTATGTACTATTAAACCTCTACTATTAAGGGGATTATGCTATAAGGAATATAAAATATCAAGAAAATAAATAAATTTCTTTTTTATTTCCTAGGGCAGCCTAATTATAAATTCATGTCATATAAAAAGTACCAAACTGTGTTAGGAGAAAGAAGGACAGAAGTACTCCAGATGAACTGGAGTGGTCTTAGAGACCCTTTGTCTCATTTCCCTCAGCAGTATCCTCTACCTAAGCAGATAAAGTTACTTTCTATGTCTTAGATGAATGATGGAAATGCTGAGACAGGAGATGGTCTACTCAACTCTAAAGCTCAGAAGAACTCTCGAAAGGGTGACACTGAGATTCTAATCAAATGATGCTATTTGATTTCAGGCTTCTGTAACTCTAACTACTACATATATAAACACTCCAAGAGAAGAAAGTCTTGGCTTATAAGTACACCTCTTTCCTCTAATTATAAACAAATTACCAATACATCATATAAATTATAGCCTTAAACACAATAAACTGTTTTATAATATTCCTCTATTTCATTAAATCTGATCATTCTTCTAAAAGATACAATATTAATTTATTCTTTGTAGAATTACTTAAATTTCTCCATTTGAGCTTCTTTTTGTTTTTTTTTTTTACATGTTGTTGTTTTTTGTTTTTTCACGAGAGGGTTTTTCTACGGGTATAAGCACATATATTTGGAAATCAGCTTGATATTATATCAGTTTAGCTAAACGACTGTATTCAGCACCCCAACCCAACCAGGGCCTATGATCTCAAGGCCTCACCATGAGTTTTTGGACTTTGGTTTTTTGTTTGTTTTCTGGTTTTTTCAAGACAGGGTTTCTCTGTGCAGCCCTGGCTGTTTTAGACTCACTCTGTAGACCAGGCTTGCTTCAAACTCAGAGATCCACTTGTCTTTGTCTCTGCCTCCTGAGTGTTGGGATTAAAGGTGTGCACTACCACCACCAGGCCCACTTGAGCATTTTAAAGAAATGTTTACAATTTTGTGAAATCTATTCCCAGAAACTGACCAAAAATCAATAAGTTTATTCATTTATAATCTGTTTCATTCATACTTTTATATTTTTCTTTAAAAAAAAAAACTGGGGCTGGAGAGATGGCTCAGAGGTTAAGAGCATTGCCTGCTCTTCCAAAGGTCCTGAGTTCAATTCCCAGCAACCACATGGTGGCTCACAACCATCTGTAAAGAGGTCTGGTGCCCTCTTTCGGCCTGCAGGCATACACACAGACAGAATATTGTATACATAATAAATAAATAAAAAAAAGAAAGACTTAACTAAGTAGTGTGACCTTTTTTTGAAGACAGATCACGCTGTCTATGTAGCTATGCTATGCTATGTAGCTGCTCCTGTCCCGTCTCTTCCCCCTCCCCACCGTGAGTGCAGGGATGACAGGCATGCACCATCACACCTAGTTTATGTTGTGCAGGGCTTAATGCAATGGTAGTTCTACCCACTGAACTACATCTTGGCCCAGAAATCAATATTTAAAACATTTTTTTTCTTGCTAGCTAAATTCTGTTAAAGTGATTTAATTACTCAATTCACATTTCCTTCAGAGACTGGCATGAATATTGATGGAAAGCCTGGGCTATCATCCAAGTACAAAGTCTCATTTTCACATGAAGGACAACACAGGAATAATGCCACATACACACATACTAATAATTCATTTTCTACTGAGAAAAAAGTCAGATTGAAATAAAGATGGAAATGGGTATAGTCAATGTAGGATCCAACTATACTATAATTATTCATAACATGCTCATTTGAAATCATTCCTGCTTGCAGTTTCGAGGTCAGAGACAAACTAATTATATTCTAACTTTATCTATTAATTTAGAAAAGCCAGAAATCCAGGTCAAATGAATGACACTGTAATTGATACTAGAAATTCAACTTTTAATATGGTTCACTAATGGTTCAAAAGGCAACAAGCAGGAATTTCACACTTGCAAAACAGCATATGTGATCATCCTCAAAATACAACACTGTCAATATTATTGTGGCTCAGAACTTGATTCCAATCTCCGTCTGTGTGATTTTGCTATTAGTCTATAACACACTTTATGTTAGCTTTGTTTGGTGTGCACGACAGGCAAGTGCTCTACCACTAAGCATTTTTATGTTTCTTTAGTGCTAACATGGATGACACTAAAATCGACCAGATTTTTAATATAATTTACTATATTAACAAAATATTTTAAGAATATTTAACCAACTTTCACCTAGAAATTTCTTCTATCTATGAAAAATTATTTAAAACACGATGGTTAAATTTCACATACATAAAAGATAATTACATATGGTGAAGCTTTCTTGAAATAAGTTATAGGAAAATACATCTTATATATATACATGCAAAAACACTTAATACATTTAAATTTACTACATTTTTTATTTGTACGTATAAGTATGCATGTTCAAAATCAGTCCTGTCTGTCTGTCACATGGGACCTGAAATCGAACTCCTGTCATCAGACTCGGCAACACTATATATACCCTCTATGTCATCATCTCACTGGCCAAAAGAAGGAAGCTTAAAAGGTTTAAAAATGTGATGGGGGAAATTATCACCCTATGATGTATTATATTTCATAAAAATATTATTGTTTTACTAGTAATTCAGAAAAAATTATAAATGAAACCTTACATTCCTGTTTAGTGTACAATCTGACAAGTGCCCTTCTATTAAAAACAAGAGAAATTATGGCTCATAAGCATTATACTCATACTTAAGAATATGGCTACTGGTTTTTGAATACCTGCTTTAAAAAATATTACCTGGGCAGGAGGGACAGCTCAGTTACAAGCACTGGTTGCTCTCCAGAGGGCCTGGGTTAGATTCTTAGCAACCACATGGTGATTTATAACCATCTGTGACTTCAGTTCTAGGGATCCAACATCTTCTCTGGCCTCTGTGGGGACGGGGTATGCATGCAGACACATATGCAAGCAAAACACCCACATACATCAAATTCTATTCTATTCTGTTCTGTTCATTTATTGGTTTTTTGTTTTGTTTTGTTTTGTTTTTGTTTTTGTTTTTGTTTTTGTTTTTGAGACAGGGTTTCTCTGTATAGCACTAGCTGTCCTGGAACTCACTGTAGACCAGCCTGGCCTCAAACTCACAGAGATCTCCTGCCTCTGCCTCCTGAGTGCTGGGATTAAAGGTGTGTACCACAACACCCAGCACATAAAATTTTAATTAAAAAAATTTACCCAAGGGGTCTGGGGAGATGGCTCAACAGTTAAGAGCACTTGCTCTCCAAGAGTGAGGAACTAAGTATGAATCCCAAGCATCTACATAAAAAGTTGGGTGTAAAAAATAAAAAAGTTGGGTGTAGCTACACACTAGACTGTCATGCCATGCTTGCTCCCTGTATCTTACTGCTTAGCCACTCAAAAGGCAAGTGAGACAGCTTTAGAATGTTCAAAGGGATTTGCTCATATATGCATATTTTGAAAAGGGTTACCTGTATCTCAGGGTGACCTCGAACTCTCTATGAGCCCAGGGATGACCATGGACTCCTGTTCCTACCTTGTCTTCCTAAGTTCAGGGACTATTGGAAGTACATCACCACATGGAGCAGGAGTTTATTTTGACTTCAATACATTTTCAGGACTTTTATACCTGAGTTACCAGCTATAATTCATTTCCTACAGTCTTAATCCTAAAACATGACACAGTATCAACTTTTTCATGGTTGTACTGGTAACACTTTTTGAGTTTTCCCATTTCAGACTCTTAAGTCTAGAAATTCATTAGAAATGAATACAAGGTAAAAGGTCACAAATAAAGCGTTTTTATACTTTTTTTTTTTTGAGACAGTGCTTTTCTGTGTAACCCTGGCTATCCTGGAACTCCTTCTGTAGACCGGGCTGGCCTTGAACTTACAGAGTGCTGGGATTAAAAGGCATGCACCACCACTGCCTGGCTCAGTTTTCTATTCTTAATGCTTTACAAAATTCAAACATCAATGCTAAGGAAAAGTGTTTCAAGTTAGCAACATAAAGTTGGACATGTACATTACTATAAAGAGAAAGCCATGCCCACCTTGAATAAAAAAGATTGGGGAGAGAGAATAGCAGATGGAGGTAAACAAACAGGGAAGGCACAGGAGTAGGGTCATGGGAGGCAAAGGCAGTTACAGCGGATCTGATAACCTGAGTGGAGTCTCCAGGACACATCTGGCAGAAAGAGAGAATGGACTCCCTAAATTGTTTTCTGCTCTCCACACATATATTGTGGTATTCAAGTGCATACATATGCATACCAGTCATGAAAAATGTAAAAAAAAGAAAAAAGACTGAATACTTTAACAAGCCTTCAGTAGCTAGACCACTGTTGGGTTTCTTGAGGAAGAATTTGATCTAGAAAAACTATAAACAAAAGTTTTGATTGGTTGGTAGGTTTTCTTTTTCAACAGTCTCACTTTCTAGCCCTCCCACTTAAAGCTCAGGCTATCCTCCAGCTAATCACAAGACTAACAACAACCTACCACCTCAGGCACCTGAGTTTTAAAAATACAGTTATGAACAACCACATTCAGCTAGATAAAAGTTAATTTCACAGTACGTGCTAAATTTTATGAGGGAAGAGGTTCTGAGCTTTTAACAAAGTTCTCAGTGTCTTAGTAGCAATTTTCTTCCTTCCTCCCTCCCTCCCTCCCTCCCTCCCTCTTTCTTTCTTTCTTTCTTTCTTTCTTTCTTTCTTTCTTTCTTTCTTTCTTTCTTTCTAAGATTTATTTATACAGTGTCCTGCTTGTAGGCCAGAAGAGGGCACCAGATCTCATTATAGGTGATTGTGAGCCACCATGTGGTTGCTGGGAATTGAACTCAGGACCTCTGGAAGAGCAGTCAGTGCTCCTAACCACTGAGCCATCTTTCCAGCCCAGTAGCAATTTTCTTATAGCACACTCTAAACTAAATGAA